AGAATGAATATTAACATATATCACATACATATATATGACATGGTTAATATTATAATTACATGTGGTAAGTCCATTAAAATTTCTTAAAATGCCCTCAAGCTGCCACGTGGTGCTCTAATACATTAGAGAAAATATTAGAAATTCTAAGAAAAAAGCAAAGTATCTATTACTTTATTTTCACTTAAATCGATGGGTCCAATATTATAAACCATTAGATTAAATTAATCTTAGAACAAACTAAATACTACGAGGTTCCACCTCTCCACCTTCGGTACGCACCTACGTACGTAGGTACCTACGCTTCCCCTCCTTTTTTCCATTTTTCCCTTTCTTCTTTTTCTCCATGTATACGTTTTCCTCCCTTTTTTATTGTATCATGCACCTTCATGAGACGATTTAATCACAAAAATTTTAAGTATCTCGCTCTCACATTTTCATTTGTAGCCATACTATAAGCAATAGTTTATTATTTACTCGAGAAAAAAGAACATGATTCAAAAGTCGTAAGTACTTAATCCATCTCCTACTCAAAAGTTTAGTTTGTGAATGGATTTTTAAGATACCTTAAGAAAATAGAACTCTTAAATTATTATAAAATAACAGTATCTTAACTTTACTTTTCCCTTAATCTATCAGACAAAATTTTTGAACAAACAGTAAAAATCTTACCTTTCAATAATACAAGTGCCAGCGCATACGCGCGGGCCACCTCCCTAGTTTCAAGTAAAAGCCAACTAAACTAAATATATACACTTTAACTAAGGTGTCCGTGTATATAAGTCTATTAATCTTCTTGGGTCCTGTTTGGATTAAAGGGATATTTTTTAGCCCTCTCTGAAATAGTCCAAATAGCCTAAAAAGATTTAAAAGGGTGAGCTATTTGAGGGCTATTTGAAAACAACCCACCCAAAAAACTATCCCACCCAAGAAGTGCTCATTAGTGCTATTTCGGGTGGGACCAACTGAAAAAGTGGCTTTTCTCTCTATGTCTCTCCATGGGAAGGTACATTAAAGGCTAAATAGCTTTTAAAATAACAATTGTATCCAAACAACTTAGTGCTATTTTATTGGAGAGCTATTTCCTTATGCTAAAAATAGCTTTCAAAATAACTTTTCAAACAGAGCTCTAGTTTAGTTTAATGAAAATGGAGTATCCAATCAAACAGATTGTATATTTTAGGAAGTCACAAATCGGCAACAGTGCCACGAAGAACCTCCTCGAGATCACGCAGCACTACAGTGCTCACTTACACACGTTAATTACACCTCCCCATAACGACGAAAACTGAGAGTAACTGACGACGGCGATCGAGCAGAGATCACCGTCCACTGACCGCATGTGCCGCCATAGATGCACGACGGCGACCTCTCTGTTGATCCCAGACGACCTCCTCCTCCTCCTCGCATTCAATGGCCACCATGGCCATCACCACCTAATCACTGATTCCAGAGCTTGGAAATGAAGAGCCTGAAGATGACATGTCTGTCCCCAGTTCATCCCCAATCCTCCATCGGCGAGCTTCAGCTTAGCTTCGATGCCAAAGCTTTCATACGAGTTCCCATCGTGTGCGTACGTCCGTCGTCCTGGCGTGTAGGAATTTGCAGTTAAGCTTCTTCTTCTTCACTTGCCAACTAACTATATAGCTACGTGCTTTAACTTGGATCGATCGGAGCAGAGCTATCTCGTTGAGCTGTCAGGGACAGGATAATCTACTTATACATTTCAGCTCGATTGTCATCGTGTTATTATAAAATATGCTTTGGTAATATGGGCAGAATCTTGACCGACTGTTGGAGAATTGATGGAAAGAGAGAGATGGTTCTTGTTGCATCTGGTAGAGTCAGTTTCAGTTAATTAATCTTCAGTTATCCTCAATCAATGTGGGTCAACTTGGAACTTAATTAACCAAGATTGTGGCTATCATGATCCCGCGTACGTTGGATCACAAGTTATAAATCTTTCGCTATAGCCTGCAGTTATCCCGTGTCATTGTCTAAAACGTCAATTAAAATGGAACCGGAGGGGGTAGTCTAACTTTTGCTCTCGTATAACCTCATGTAACCGCTATAACTTCATTTAACCTGCTTCATTTAACCTGCTATTAGATGTTTGAGAGAACCTACCGCTAAATATTTGAGCCCACTATTTGAAACACCGTGAATCACTCTCCCTTAAAAGATAAAAATGAAATCCCCATTTCAAGCACAGCATTTTTTTTAAAGACAAGAAAGTAGACAAAAACAAAAACAGTAACACGACGGAGATGTCAGTTTATACCCTTTGTTAAAAACTGTAGAATCTAGCTTTCTGAAAGCAAAATACACACCAATCAAATGCTATTTCGATGGTTTTGCTAACAGTGTTTGTAAACAGAAACACACACCCAACTCTTCAGACTCCACACTATTTCTTTTGGTACACACCCTGAGCAATGAATATGACAAGATTAATTAGTAATCATTCACAACCTATAATGCTAGCTGTTATTGTGAGGTGAAGACTTGAGGTTCTTTGTCTTTTCCTTAAGAGCTTGATGTAATATAACACATGAACACAAAGTTAAATTCATTTTTTTACTGCATCTAAATTATGGAAGGATCGAGTCAAATCTCCATATGCTCAATCAATATTCAAGTATTCAACCAGTACATAGTGACTGAAACACAATGTACAAAGATGAGTACAGAAATCTTTGTGACCTCCATTATTGTGATCAATTGGCCATACAGACGTACATACACGTATGGTACCTAATTACTTTTGAGAAATTGACAGAATAATGAGGACTGATTTAGTTTCCCAAATTTTTTTCCCAAAAACATCCCATCGAATCGTTGGACACGTGCATAGAGCATTAAATATAGATTAAAAAACTAATTACACAGTTAGGGGGGAAATCACGAGACGAATCTTTTAAGTCTAATTAGTGCATGATTAGTCATAAGTGCTACAGTAACCCACATGTGCTAACGGCGGATTAATTAGGCTTAAAAGATTCGTCTCGTGGTTTCCATGCGAGTTATGAAATTAGTTTTTATCATTTGTGTCCAAAAATCTCTTCCGATATACGGTCAAACATCTGACGTGACATCCAAAAATTTTCTTTTCGCGAACTAAACCGGCCCTAAGGTGAAGTGACTGCATTATTATGGTGCCAAGAACGGGAGAGATAGGTCTTATTTAGTTGGGGAAAATTTTTAGGTTTGATTGTCATATCAGATATACGGACACACATTTGAAGTATTAAATGTAGTTTAATAACAAAACAAATTATAGACTTCACAAGGAAACTACGAGACGAATTTATTAAGCATAATTAATCTGTCATTACCAAATATTTTCTGTAGCATCACGTTATCAAATCATGGCGCAATTAGACTTAAAAGATTCGTCTCGCAATTTACACATAATCTGTGTAATTAGTTTTTTTTCATACATTTAATATTTCATATATGTGTCCAAACAATCAATGTGACAGCGTGAAATTTTTTGTTTTGGAATTAAACAGGGCCATGGTAGCTTCTCTCACCTGACAGCGAATCATCCTGTACAAACGGCGACGCCATGAAGGACTTGCTGAATTTGAACAGTTTAGCTGTACCCTGTGCACTAACTTTTGTTTCCTGGCAGTTGAAGGCTTCTGCTACACTTTATACCCTGTACGTACCGTTTCCTGACTGCAAGTACAACTGATTTTGCAAAAATGTCATGGAACAGAGCATTTTTGTTGTTTTCTTCTAGATAACTATGAGGCAAAATTAGATCACTTTATCTCTTATTTTTCATACATAGTCAAGTTACATTGTATACTCTCCCTGGTCACAATAAAAACATCATTTTGGGCATCGACACAGTTTACAAAATACAACTTTGACAACTACTGCTACTTTCTATGTCTACTGTAAAGCATTTGAAAGATATCATGAAAAGCAATTTCGAGGCCAATCTATATGCATGATTTCCAAATATCCAATCTAAAAACCTAAAAAAATACTATTACTTCCTAAAAATCTAAAAAAAAATACTATTACTTCCTCAGACCATGAATATTTGATATATAGTAATCAATCCATCCTAAATACATAAACAACTATATTAGATTAGACACCATCCAGTGCTATGTATATAGATAGACAATAGGAGATGTGTCCATATTTGTAGTATTGGGTGGTATCTATTTTGTATTAGATTACATATTTTGAGACAAATGAAGTACATCATTGGGAGTGTGACCAATATCTTATCATATACATATATTATTTTTTTACTAGACGTTTTCCATTTTTAAATGTACATGCTGCTGAAACATGTAAGAGGGAGTAATTTTTAGTTTCTTGCCCTTAATTTGTATATAATATTTTCACAAAGTGAGTGTAGTTCAACTATTTAATTATGTTCTTTGTGGTGGAATCAGCCCATCCAATTTAAGTACTAGAGTTGACACGGATGCTCGTATTTACGACTAGGTATTCTTTTAATGGCAGGTGACATAACTATCGACAGTGAGGTGTTTACACTGACTTCGTCAATATTAAAATATACCGGTATAGTCTTTTGGAGGTACCCATAAAGATAGGGTGTGTGTGTATGCGTTTATAGGAGTAACTGTGTGTGCGTTTATACTACCGTGTTTCTAAAAAACTTAATATTTTCAGAAGAACAAACTAGTGATATTCATTTTTTTAATAAAAATCTAAGTTGAAACATGTCAAAAACAACATTTTTACCCGAGGCCGCTACTGTTTGGCAGTAAACGGAGTAGTACTACTCTTGGTGGACATTCCGGCATATGTAGGCCGATCGGTTGACTTGTCACGTCCGTTTGGACGATGGCATTAACCGCACGGCCCGGTCGGACCCCGACCTCGCTATCCCCCACTCACGTCCTCCTCCTCCCGTCACGCTCGCGCAGCTGCTGCTACAGCTACGCGTGTAGTAAGTGACCACGTACACTCCAAACTACATGCTCAACCACGCCGCGCAGCCGACACGCTTATAAAAACCCCCCGCCCTCCTCGTTCCGCCTCGCTCTCGATCTCGATCTGAGCGAGGCGGCGACGAGGACGACAGAACGAAGATGAGTTCGTACATGGAGGCGGCGGCGGCGGCGAGGGCGGCGGAGGCGAAGACGGAGGGGCTTCTCCGGGGCGCGTGCGCGCTGCTGGCGGCGGCGGCGGCGCTGCTGGTGGGGCTCAACACGCAGACGGAGACGGTGCTGTTCATCAGGAAGAAGGCCACCGTCAAGGACGTCCAGGCCCTCTGGTACGTAAGAGTGAGCTACTGCGTGTGTACGTGTATTGCTCCATCTCATCAAGCGATCAGCCATGGTGATCGTGAGCGGCGCCGGCCGGTGTGCGTGTGCAGGGTGTTGGCGATGGCGGCGGCGGCGGCGGCCGGCTACCACCTGCTGCAGCTGCTAAGATGCTTCTACCTCAGCCGCTTCGCCGACGGCAAGCCCTGCCGGCATCGCAGGGCCATAGCCTGGCTTTGCTTCCTCCTCGACAAGGTAATTAATTAGTTAATTAACCTCTCTTAATTAGCTTAGCACTCGACATCTCTCTCCTCGGAATAAGATGAGGTTGCTATTTTGTAGTATTAAGATGTTTGCATGTTTTATTCTAGCTTGGTATTGGTTGAAAATGACCATCGATTTAAAAGAACAAAATAAAGGACGCTAAGGAGGAAGTCATGTATAATACATGAGGACTCAACAGGTTAAGCTCGAGAGATCTTACGGACCCATCGTTTCGCTAATTGGAGGAGTAAGCGAAATTGGTGAAACGGCATATTTGTAAACGAAAAATAATTTGTAAATAAAAGTTTTATGTACGTGTTCTTAGTGATATAAAAGCAAAAACTGAAAAATAAACTTCGATGAAAAAACCTCAAAATCAACTCCAAATTTAAAATCGAAAATTTAAATTTTAACTGATAAGTATAAGTAGTATAAGCGTAAAAATGAGGCTATTAGTGAGTGTCTGGTTGGTTCTCGAACTTTGCCACGCTAGATGTTAAGCACGACGGTTGTTTAGATGAGTGTTTTGTTCACTGTTGTAGCTGTGGTTTTGTCCTTTTGTTTTACTGTTTTGTTATATACTTATTTATTTGATATATCTTGTTTAAGATGTGATGAATAAATTGTTGTTAGCCATACTATTAATTTAAAAAAAAGTGTGGCAATATGGAGGAGTGAACCAAACATGCCCAAACACCTCCCACCAAGTGATCTCACTTTCCTACCTTGGATATCAATGAACATCCTCTCAAATGCTGTTAGCAACTTGCATCTAGCTAGATAATACTACATTATTGAGTTTTTTTTTCGAGATCACACAGGAGGACCGCATTTCATTAAGATGATTAAGTAACAAAAACAGCTCATTAACTGCTAGAGATCAACCACTCTAGAATAATAATAGGCCGGTGATACTTAGCTATCATGTCATTCTACTATCATAATTAAAAACATAGTACTAGTACCGTAATACCTTTTAAAATTTGGTTAACCTTTGCCTTATAGCACACGGTAGCGTAGCAGTACCGTAATTGTACTAGGAGTGTCAAGTACACTAGCTGTTGCTACAAAAATAGTACAGTAAGTACACTAGCTGTTCAGATAGAGACTACTAGTAATTATACAAGTGCAGTACAGTGATATGCTACTGCAATTCGCTACAGCTAAAAACTCTCTTTTTAAAAAAAAATCGTGCTAAATACTTTTAGATAATGGAAGCTTTATATTAGTCTCAATTAATTACATGGAGGTGGTACAATCTCTGTCAATTAGTGCTAAATATATGTCATGCACTGAGCAACTGAGCTGAGCAGAAAAATGGAAAGAGCGTTAGTTGCAACTGCATCGGTGCTTTCATTTATGCACATCAAAATCATGATCAATGATGGTTGTTCCGTGTGAAAGATGGAATTATATGCTTCCATCAATGCATTAAAAAGCCACTTTAGAAATTAGTATGGTCTAGGAGTTTCTACCAATTCCATGAAAGTCTTGCTATTGCGACTCTTACTAAAGCTGTGTGTTTAGTTCACGCCAAAATTGAAAGTTTGGTTGAAATTGAAAAGACGTGACGGAAAAGTTGTAAGTTTGTGTGTGTAGAAAAGTTTTGATGTGATGGAAAAGTTGGAAGTTTGAAGAATTATTTGGGAACTAAACACGGCGTAATAAGAAGAGAAAATACAAAGGAAAATGTTTCTTTTTGTTGAGGATTTCAGTTCAGAAAGTTCTAAAAATCATTTCTACCAAAGAGGTCAGAGTAAAAGTTGATAAAAAAGAAACACACTTTGCTTCACTAGTGATCTCTGCAACAACTAAATGGAAACCCATATTCTAATTTTGTTTTTTGCATCATTAAATGGAAACCCATATTCTTTTTTTTTTGGTTATTAAAGAGGCGGTGGTGTACTGATCATCACCAACTCTTCAATGTTGCATCTCTTGATAATAGTCGTTTGTAGGACAGAGAACATTGATTGCTCAAGGGAAACTATAGAACAACACCTTGAGATGGTCAGCTTTGCTGGGCAACAAGAGCCCTGGCCCTGTCCCTTTGGCCCTGCATAATGCTAACAAACACAGCTACAGTCATAAGCAAGAGGAAAATTAATCAGGTAGGAGTATATAACACTGTTCTAGCGTTCCTGGATATTTCACTATTATGTCCCTAATATATGGCCTAGAGAATTAATACTTCATCCGTTTTTGAATAATTGTCAGTTTTGAGTAAAAATCGATGAAATTTGGACAGTCATTTTTCAAGCGATGTGAAAAAAAAAAGTAAAGTACTTTCGATTATGTATCTAATTATACAAATTTGAAGCTAGATAAATTTGTCTGTAACGCATATGAAACCGTACTACATTGCTACTACCTCCGTTTAAGGTTATAAGACTTTCTAGCATTGCCCACATTCATATAGATGTTAATGAATCTATACACATATGTGTTTAGATTCATTAACATCTATATGAATGTGGGCAATGCTAGAAAGTCTTATATTGTGTCTAGATTCATTAACATCTATATGAATGTGGGCAATGCTAGAAAGTCTTATAACCTTAAACGGAGGAAATAGTATAAGAGAGTGCTACTTTTAGTGTAAAATACTAATTGGTTAGGAAATGTTTATTCTAAATAGAGGTAGAATTTTTTTGCCTTATTATCCTGAAGCTTCTATTGTGACGGCAGGGTTGTGCATACATAACATTCGCGACGACGGTGGCAGCGGCTCAGGCATGCGTGGTGGCACTATATGGCACGCACGCGTTGCAGTGGACTAAGCTTTGCAACATCTACACCCGCTTCTGCGAGCAGGTTGCTGGTAGCCTTGTGTGTGCCATGCTCGCTGCCGTCGGTACTGCCCTCCTCTCCGTCGTCTCCGCCCGCAACCTCTTCCGCCTCTATCCCTCCATGCTTTCACCTCCGCCGTCTTCCTTCGTGGGATAGACATTGTCCACCGCCCCTCTCCCTAGGCCTTCGTTTGTACTCTTATATTGGGCTGCATAGAAAAATTAAGCCCAACTATAGACCCAAGTAAAGCATACCTACCTTTTATTTTTCTTAACTTTTGTTAGAGTGCATTTAGGAGTAATACTTATCCACATGTAGTATATACTCCACAGAAGGTATATGTTCTTGTACCTCTCTCTCAAAAAAGTGTATCCATAGGTAATGTGCTTTGCTTCCTCTCTCTCTCATAAGAACAATAGTAGAGAAGATGGTTGTAAGGTAATTAAGGACCAACCTTTGTGGCATGTTTCAGTGCAGAAGTGATAATGTTACACACTGAAATTGTTGTGGATAACAGAACTAAGTTCAGTTCAGTTACCACCAGAGGTAAAGAAATGGTTGATTTAATTTGCTTCGGTGCCTCGTGATGCTGTCGTCGTGAATTGTTTTTGACATGAGCCCATCAGCAGCCGTCCAAAACTGGGGGCTATTTGATTTTTTTCTCTTTTTGTTGGAATCACGCTGAGTTCCGTACCAATAGTTCCCAACTCCGGGGTGGCTAATGGGCGCGCACGCGCCAACTGCGCCCCCCCCCCCCCCTCACCCTCCTGAGCGATTTTTTTTCTTTTTCTTTGTTGGTGATTTTTCTTTTTTTTTCTTTTCCCTTTTACGTTTTTTCTGATTATTTTTTTAATCTTCAACACACGTGTTTTCAAATGTTTTGATTTGAAAATTTTCAAATCTCGAGTTGGAAGTTTTGAAATCTCGAGTTGAAAGTTTTTAAATCTGAGTTGGAAGTTTTCAAATCTGAGTTGGAAGTTTTTAAATTTGAGTTGAAAGTTTTCAAATTCTGAGTTGAAAGTTTTCAAATTCTGAATTGAAAGTTTTCAAATTTGAGTTGAAATTTTTCAATTCTGGATTGAAAGTTTTTCAAATTTAAGATGAAAAGATAAAAGTTTTTATAATTTGACTTCAAAAATTTCAAATTTTGAGTTAAAATTTTTCAAATCTGGGTTAAAAGTTTTCAAAATTTGACTCCATGTATAAATTTCTTTTCAATCTTTTCAATCTGTTAAACAAAAGCTATTCACAAAAAATCTAACATTAATTGTCGTTATTATCTCTAATTAACAGGATCAGTTAGTACGTCTCACCGAGAAAAAATCCCGCTGCGTGCGCGTTGGCAGCGCATACGTGCGAGCTAGCTTTTGCCTCCTAACTCACCTTATCTTTTTTCGCGCGCACGCTTTTAAAACCGCGTCACAGGTTTCTATATAAAAAGTTTTTTAAAAACATCATATTAATCTATTTTTTAAAAAAATAGTTAATACTGCGCTAATGGATTGCTCGGAGGGAATGAGTTCCCAACCAACCAGGAGAACGAATGGCAGCGACCAAGAAGAACAACACAGGGTGTTATTTGAAAAATGTTTGGATCGCTACCAAGAAAACAGGGTGCTATTTGTAAAACTCCAGCATTTGCTCTCTATTAACCGTTGGATAGACAAGCGTGCGGCTGTGATTTTCCCGACCTTCTCTCGTGTTTTTTTTTCGTGTTCCCCTCCTTATCTCCGACTCCCCACCCCCCCCCCCCCCCGGGCGGCGGCGGAGCTCCGGCGAGCCGAGGGATCCGGGAAATTCGTCGATCCGGCACCGTGCCGGGGAGGTTAGGTAGTCGGGGATGGCGGAGATTGGAGAACGGCGGCGGCTACGGCGGCCGCTCGCTCGGAGAGTCCGCCATGGTTCCGCTGGCGCGTTGATCCCCCGGCAGCTCGGCACTAAGAATGGTCGCCACGGACGCGCGCGCCATGTCCTCCCCGGCGCCATGGGCTCTGCATCGGTGGCTATGACTATGTCAAAGGTGGTGTGTTCTTAGCTGCTGCTCTTCATAGGTTCAGAAACTTCAGAGAGCAGCTGTTTTCCTTTTCCCCCCATTTTGTTTGGTCAGTGCTGCATTCATGGATCGCTGCATGTGTTTCTCTATGCGTTTGCGTTTCTCTGAACATTTTGAGAAGGTTGTTTATGCAGGATTTGAAGGGTAGCTGCACGTATTAGTTGGATCTTAGTGCGTATGTTGCTCTGCTGGGATTGATCCATTTTTTCAGTCCATTCCATCAATTGGTGGAGTGCAGTTCAGGTAGTACTCCCAACTTGTCTAGCATCTCATTTGTCCTAGTGAAACTATGATATCGCAATCACAATGATGCAATATGTAAATTTGTTTCTTGATGCTCTGCTTTCTGATGCTACTTTCTGAGGTGGCTGCTTCATCAAACAGGGTGTTGGGTATGCTGTTCCTTTTCCTGTTTTAACCATGCTGTTCTTTTAAAATTCATCCCTTTTGGTTAGCATGATTGGTATGTGCATGAAAACTTATCAAGTCTTTAGTGCACTTGTATTTGATGATAAAAATTCCTGCACGAAGGCAAGCAAAATATGATCTCATTCAACACTAACAGTCCAAACAAGTCTAATTTCTGTCATAAGTCAGAACATTTTAGTTCTCACATAATGTCCAGGTTCCAGTAAGCAGTAAGAACACGTGCAATTTGAATTACAAATGAAGAGAATATTTTAATTGAAACGTGGTATACATTATAATCAGCCTTGTTGTCAAAATTCAAAAAGAAAAAAAAAAGGTATCTATACATGACACGGTACACATAACGGGCATACAAACAAAGTATAACTTAGCCATCTAAAAGAATTGAACCATATGGCCCTTCTATACGTATTTCTGCCATTTCATAAAGAATATTACATGATTTTTGAAACTGGTGTATAAAGAGGAAAAAATATTATCAGATTTAGCTTTTCAACTGTGTATTATCATTGGTAGGGATGCCGGCTGCAAGCTTTGCTCTGAGGTCCTTCCTGAGAATCTTGCCAGAAGGACTCTTCGGAATTGAATCCGCGAAGAAAACTTTGTTGAGCCTCTTGTAGAAAACAACCTGTGATGTTGTTCAAAACAATCTGGATTATGATGCTTATAACGGTGAAACATTGGTATATGGACCAATCCAATTATTTCTATGCTTCTGCATGATGTATGATTTAGCTTTAACTTGTTAGAGAGTACTGTTTTCTAAGCATAAATGAATATATGATGGCTTCTATAGACTAGTGATTACTTGTATGTGAACCATAAAGCGGTAGATGGAGAGATTGATAAACTAAGCATTACCTCCTTTGCCACAAATTGCTTGATCTCATTCTCGCTGATTGCAGATCCTTCAATCCGTACAATGAATGCAACCGGCACTTCACCCGCAATTTCGTCTATCATCCTGCAAGAATTCAATAAGAATTTAGTCCTCTGATGTGATGGAACATGCTGACCTTCTGTTCATCTAAGCATGGATCAACTTACGGTACAACGGCAGCATCCTTGATATCAGGGTGTGTGATGAGAAGAGCTTCAAGTTCCGCAGGAGGTACTTGGAACCCCTTGTATTTTATTATTTCCTTGAGCCGGTCAACAATGAAAATCTCGTCGTCGTCGTCAACATAACCAATGTCTCCTGTGTGCAGCCAACCGCCCTTGTCGATGGTGTTCTTCGTGGACTCCGGGTCATTCAGATAACCTGCAAATCACAGGCACGATCACTGGCATGAAATGGCTGCATTCAGAGTTTCAGACATTCATGTGCACTTGTTCACTCGTATAAGCCAGAGCATATACCAGTGCAGTCTCCATTACAGTTTTCAGTAAGATAAAAAAAAAAGAGTCTAAGTAGATAAATTTTTCGATGGAAACACTACTGTGTGTTAGCGATGGTCAACTTCAGGTTTAAAATTTGATAGCCATATGCTAACCTGTTGATAAGGTCGCAAACTAGACTAACCACCATGAACTATTTCCGGGCATTTATCTTGCCATGAATTGTTGGATAATTCTTAGAAATATCTCTCCTCAGGTCACATTCAGACAGCTGGCGCCGAAAGCACCATAGTATTCATCTCCTAGTGCTTCGCTATACTAGTCTATTCATAATCGTAATGTAGATTATTTATAGCTTTGAAATAGGACAGATATCTTTTCCAAAAAAATTTGAAGGACAAACCAGCACTTCCTCCATTGAAAGGACAAAAGGGAGCCATTTCAATGTGCAAAGAAGAGATGTTGAAATAAATGAACAGAAATGATAACTGTGGAGATTCCTACCCAAGTGGTAAAGTGCACATGGGTAGTGAGTATAGAACAGCCTGTAGCCATGATATAGATTCAATGCATACCGCTGACGCGGAGGAACACAATTCGCTAACGGAAAAATAATTAGTGTCCAGTTGCATAGTGGCTCTAAAAAACTGATAGTGTTGTACTCCGTATCAATTAAACTTGTCAAAAATGAAAAGTTTTTCCTTTTCCTTTTGTTGTGTTAATCGTTTTTTTCCAAATAGAAAATAATGGTACATCCAACTTAAGCTAATGAGGAGTTTGAGGACTACATGGAAATACAGTGTTCTGGATTGGAGTACTAGTGTAAGCTGAGACTTTCGTAGATCCCTTTGGAAAATGCTCTCACATGGGCAGCTTGAATGTGTGATTAATCAATAAATGCAAGCTATGAAGGATGGATGGACCATCTAGAATATGCCAACCTCGATTCTCTGTTAACTCATGGTCGCACTTCTGGAATTCCTATTGAATATGGTTGCACGCAATCAGAGATCTGAACTTACTCCCCCCACAAAGATCCGAAATCACAGATAAGAGTAGCTTTCTGATCCAAAATTTGGATCGTGTGCCAGAGTTCAGTTTAGTATGGTGACACTTGAAGTTTTTATTTGTCTAGTATTTCTACTCCTAGCACTGTAAAGTGTAAACATGGTTGACTGCCATATATCGGAGAGTAGAAACTTGTTTGTGCAGGGCGCACTATTGGTAACAGCTGAGAGGTACAGCTTTCGATTACTAAAGAAATATAAATAGCAACTAGGAAATTTTTCAGCACCCAAGGATGGATATGTGCCACAAATTGCCTTTTAATCTAGTACTAGTATATTACTAGATCTACCATATTAGAATCATATAATATTGTTACACCTTGCATACATACGTCCAAGCAGGTAGCAACCTTTGACTATGACATAAGCAGGTCAGGATAGGTGCTCACCCTTTCTCCACACAAGCAATCAAGAGATAGGCTCAGGAAGGTGAGAACCAGACAAGGTTGCTATGTGGTTCCAAGTTAGGTGTAATAGTGATAGCATTGGTCAAGATGTGTTGCAGGATAACGGTAGCTTCTTGCCATCTCAATCTCATCAAAAGGGTTAAGAGTTCCCTTGCTGATTCAGCTTCTACTTGCGAACATTGTAGTGGTTGCCTGCATGATGAGAGCTGTCCCGCGAACTGAGGATGATTTGCTACCAACGTGCCTGCATATCAGCTGGATACCAACAACCATGTGCTTTGCTAGCTCCCGCTTGCTAATCGTGTCTTGGAAGGGAATACGTGGTAGTAGTTAGGATGTAGGAGGAGGAGCAACCAAACTGCATTCAACTACAGCAACAGAGGGCGGCTTTGCGAAAGGGAGAAAAAAAATTGGTGGCAACTACTACATGAAACGTTAGATTAGTCTATTCTTTGCTACAGAAACTAAGGTAGAGCCACTGTAACAGTACAGTTCCAACAGAAAAGGACACATGTACTGATGACAAGGCGTTCCTATTCTCAAAGTACTGGAGAATATGCAATTCCAGGAAGTTAAACGATGTCTATGAACAGTTATTTGGGAGAAAAGAGACCAATAATTGTGTGATGGAATCATGGAATTGGAACCAGACTATATAAAGAAAACGATATTTCGATGCTACCTAGGCCTATAAGCAAAGGCAAAGAAATTTTTATTGGTCACGACTAGTGAACAAGGTTCATCGCATTAGAGCAAGTTTAATAGTATAGCCTACTGCTAGCTCCAATTCATCTATAGCCAATCTAATAGCCAATTCATACAATAATTGCTTACTATACTATTAATATATGGTCCCACCTGTCATTCACACATTGCGTCTTGGAATCTGTGCTGCAGCTGGCTACAGATCTATAGCCCGCTGCTCTTCTCTCATCTTTTATTTCATTAAAATATATTTATAGCTGGCTAATAGTCTGCTATTGTACCTGCTCGTTCCTATCCTATAAGTAATTAAGCCAAAAAAAAGGTGTGATAATGATGTCATCAGGTCATAACACTACAAACCTAAACCCACACTCTTAGGTGACTGACTTAATTAACGGCTAGTGACGCTCCAAAGCAACGGCCCTGAATTAAGTAGTAGTACACGCACTAGCGTGCCCATAAACACGGGGAAGATGATGAATGATTGATTTCGCCGAGATGATACCAATGATTATATGAAGAGGAAAAAAAGAAAGTGATATACTACCTTTCATGATTTGTTCTCCCCGGATGCAAATCTCCCCGGACTGGTTCCGGCCAAGGGTGGCGCCGGTGTCAGGGTCAACGATCTTCAGCTCCGCGTTTCTGACGACTGTCCCGCACGAGCCGGACTTGACCTCGAATGGCTCCTTTGCGAAGGCCAGACACATGGCCAGCACAGGTCCAGCCTCAGTCATCCCATACCCCTGTCAGAAAAAGAAAAAAAAACGAAATGCAGTGAATTTCTCAGCGATTCAGTCACTTAAGGATCAGAAATTTCACATCAGTGTCAGTGTCACCCACGGTGCATTGTGAACATTGCAGTGAGGTGAAACATCACACACAAACGAACACAACGGGTGGGGCGCACTGCACAGCACAGCCATCAGGTGTGGGGGCTTGTCCACCCAGAGATCTCAACAAAAGGTAGTTAACCGAAATGCTTTCTTAAGGAGACAGCAACCGAAATCATGGAGTTGGCGTGTGCTTCCGACCTTTCACCACACTTGTCCTGGCCGGCGATCGAGCGCCCGTGGAACGCGAACACACACACACCCCACCTACAGGCCTCGATGCGTAAAGGGGGTCGCCCATTTCGCTTCCAATCTGTTGAGACGTCGCCTTACCACACACCCCAAGTAACCAGCCGGCCACTAACGATTCTCCTCTGCCTTTCGCGCCACAAAAGGAGCCAAAAGCTTCGACGCACTACCACCCACCTACTGCTCATCAAAATTTCTCTCAATAATATGCAATCCTAAGCTCTAGTAGCATGTATAGCAACCACTGGATTCCATCCAAGATTCCATATATCGCCTTGTACCAACAGGTACTGTACTGCCGACGCGCATTGCATCGCATATTTGCATGGCATTCACAACTGAAAGCGGCATGAGATATAATCTTATCTTTTCGCCAATACTTATACTTATGTGTTAAAATTTAAATTTTAAAAACTTAATTTTAAAGTTAATTTTGTGGGTTTTTTTTATCATAGTTTACTTGGTTTTGAGTAACTAAGGATACGTATATCAAAGTTCTACTCACATATTATTTCTTGTGTGTTAATAAGAGAGACAAATAAGCATACGCTATAATTTAGGAATTGGGGAAGGGAATTGAATGGATCAGTGTGTGAAGGGCATATTAGTTTGAGCGGATCACCTGTCCCAGGACGGCGTTGGGGATCTTGGCCATGAAGGCGTCCTGGAGGTCCTTCCCCATGGGGGCGGCGCCGGACATAACCATGCGGATGGAGGCGAGGTCGTCGGCGGTGACGCGGGGGCTCTTGGCGATCTCCACCACGATGGGCGGCACGAACGGCGCGACGGTGACGCCGTGCCTCCGCGTCAGGTCCACCAGCGCGCCCAGGTCGAACTTGCGCATGATCACGATCGCCGACCCGGCTCGCAGCCCCGCCAGCAGCACGGAGTTGAGCGAGTAGATGTGGAACAGCGGCAGCAAGCACAGCACCACGTCCTCCCTCCTGAAGTACAGGTTCGGGTTCTCCCCGTCCACCTGCACCAAATTTCACAATTTTCAACATTATTAGTACTAGTAAGTTACTCTCTAGTAGGTTGAAAAAAAAAAGAGATTATTTTACTATCATTTAGATCAAGCAAGAATTTAACTATCTCTCATGTAACCACCAATAAGCATTAAGATGGTTGTTTGAGTTTTGATAAAAAATAATTTAGCACATAAAAACTACAAATATAACTATATTTCTTTCAAAAAATAATAAAAAAAAGAAACGAAATATTCTTAACATTTTCCGATGCATGTATTAACGGACAGCGCCATCCAGTCACCGGCACGAATCTTGACGCAGCTGGGGATATGTGGCTGACAGGTGGGACCATGTGTGGGACCCATGTGGCTGACAGGGGGTTTGATGAGGAGGAGTGAATTGAATGATCACTCGCTTGGCGCCGACAAAAAAGACGAGATAAAAAAAAGGGGAAATCCCAAGCTGGAAAGGGGAGACGCCACTCCGAAGCGCAGAAAGTGAGAGAAATCCCCGGAAAATTCGACGCCGCGGAAGAAAAATTGGTTAACAATGGCGAAGCAGCAGCTAGAGCTCACCTGCTGCGCGACGCTGGTGACGAGGCTGCGGTGGGTGAGCATGACGCCCTTGGGCAAGCCGGTGGTGCCGGAGGAGTAAGGGAGGGCGACGACGTCGTCGGGGTGGACCTCCTCGTCGGCGTCGAGCGGCTCGATGGACGCGTCCAGCATCGCCTCCCCGAACCCGACGCAGCCGTCGAAGTCCCCGTCGACGGCGACCACGGGGATGCCGCGGTCGGCGGCGAACCCGCGCACCTTCTCCACCGCGCACGCCTCGGTCACGATCACCCTGGCGCCCGCCGCCGACGCCTGGCGGTGGATCTCGTGCGGGGTGTAGAACGGGTTGGCGGTGGTGGTGGCCGCGCCCAGCCTGGCGGCGCCGAGGAAGGTGAAGGCGAACTCGGGGCAGTTGCGGAGGAGGCTCATCACCACGTCGCCCTTCCCCACCCCGAGCCGCCGCAGCCCCGCCGCCGCGCGCCGGGAGAGCTCCTCCACCTCGCCGTAGCTGTACACCGCCCCGGTCTGCCCGTCGATGAGGCAGGGGCGGGCGGCCACCTCCGGAAGCTTCTCGAAGCAGTAGGCCTGCAGGGTGAGGTGGCTGGGGATCTCGATGTCGGGGAGCTTGGACCGGAACACCACCGTCTCCTCCTCCTGCGCCGCCTCCGCCGCCGCCGCCATGGACCCCATCGATTCCCCCCACGCGCAGTCAGATCGGAGCTCACCGGAGCAGAAGGCGAAATGGGGATCGGAGAGATGTGTCGAGCTCTTCCGCTCTTGACTGATGAGAGGAAGAGAGAGGAATTGGGGGCAGGCGAAGCGTTTGTTAATATACCGCCGCGGCGGCGACGAGGGGTTGGTGGGGGACAGGTCCGTGTGGATGACAGGTGGGGCCCACGTGGCGGTGCGCGGGTCGGGTTTGGTGAGACTTGGTCGTGCAGTGGAGACGGAGTGAACCGGTGGGTTGACTGCGACGGGAAGTGCCACGTCAGCGCGTTTATGTTGTCTTCAATTTTCATTGCACTTCGTATTTACTCCCTCCATTAAAAAAAAATCTAATAAATGGGACATTTTCTAGACAGGAGTATATCCAGATACGCTGAACTAGAAAACGTCTAATCCAATACTAAGTTAAGTTCTTTTTTAGACGGAGACAGTACTACGGAGTAGTTTTCAAAAAATGATGCTTAATTTTTAGACATGCTCTTACATAATTATGACTACATTCGTCCTATATAAATTGTATTTCTAGGTTGTTTATCATATATTAAGGTTTAAGAAAAAAAAACTATAATGTCCCTTATTAAATGGTGTATAAGTAAAAACGGAAGGGTAATTGAGGGTAAAATAGGGAGAAATTTAAATAAGAAGTGATTAATAAGACCATTAGTATTCTATTGTGACAATTATTTTCAAACAAATGCAAATCCTAAAAATATAATTATTATGGAACAGAGATAATATTTTAGAGAAATTTCCCGTTTCTCTAAAATCTCTTATTATTATTTTTTACTTGGACAAGTACTGATAGCTTCTGGTCGTAATTAATGTGGATAGCGTAGAGTCGTGCGTGTGAGCTGGGGTGACGACTGGATTGAGTGAGTCGATGGATCGGAGTTCTCATTCAGGGGTTTGGTTTGGTATTGATTGGCCTTTCGAGCGTGACGACGACGGTTTCGTCGGCGCGCGTGAATTCCTCCGTCTCCAACATCGTCTGCGTATGCTCGGCTTTGGCCACGTCCACGTAAAAAGCGTGTGCGGCGAGACAAATGACGGGATATGATGAATGTATATGCAGCTAGTAGTAACAAGCGCGCAGCGGTTTTTTTTTTAAAAAAAAAATCTAGGTTCTAGTACTATCTCCATCTCTAGAATATTCTTTTTCTTCTTTTGTTCATCATAAAATAAGTTTGTTTTTAAAAATCATTGCATCGAAGTTTGTGTAATAAAATAATAAATGCATTAAGGATAGATAAAGTAAAAAATAATTACATTAAGATTTAATAAAGCGTGGGTATTTTAGTTATTTCGGTTTTTATTATCTTATTATCATGTGTGGTATAGATGAAACATTAATTAACAAGGTAATACGAAGTACTACCTTCGTCCCAGAATATAAGAATTTAGGATTGAATAAAAAATTTCTTAATACTGTGAATCATGATGCGCTTATATTTTGGAATGGAGGAGTAGGTTGGTTAACAAAAATCAGGCAGGTGGTCGTCTGTTGTTCGAAATGTCTGATCACCTATCCCCATGATCGTTTTCCTACCAAATTGATAAATTCACCTACTCCAATCAGTGAACGTGGGGCAGAGACTGATTCGTTGACATTGTGACAGTACTATTGACTGCACACTTCGCCGTCTAGGATGAACAAGAAGAATCTCAATGGTGCGAGCTGAAGCTTTATATCGATAAAAAGCCGAAAATGGTAGACCGGTTCGGTGGCACAACTCCAGCAAACCAGCTGCAGGCTGCAATGCAACGAAGCCGTTGGGCCACCATTCCACTAACCGACCAACGCACCCAACTGCCAAAGGAATAAGTTCACTTTGCTCCCTTCTCCTGACGTCCTTGAACCATAATACCAGATCTAACATGTTCTTCAACATGCAATATCGGAGTACCTTAGGTCCAGAGGTAGCATTGTACCTAGTTTCGACTGACATAACGAGTTGACTACGACCAACCCAGACAAGTTAGTGTGGAACCCATGCAGGACCCACATGTCAAGGCCCTTCACTCTCTCTCTTACGTGACCCGACGGAGACACCATGAGCTCCCTCGTGTGCATCTGCATTACCATGTCCACGACAAATCGCGGTGAGTGTGTGATGGAGGGGCCGTCGGAGAGAATGAAAATGCGCAAGCTCAGGAAAAGGGAGAGGAGAGAGACAACCCGCTTACATGTGGGCCCCATATTTCTTTTTAATCATTTTCTTCTAATGACTAGGATGCCATATAAGCCGAAAGCAACCATCCACACTGTCTCAGGGTCTTATTTAACCTGGTTTTACAATATGAGAGTTAAAGATTTTTAGTATTGCAGTTCAGGGAAGTGATTTGAACTTGACGTAAAACTGAAGGACGTAAAGTGGACTTATTCCATCACGAAGCCTCCGGCAAAGCCCAGCGATCGGCAGGCCCTCACGGCGGGGAATAAGTTCACCGGAGGTCTCTTAATTTAACAACGAGATTTTTTAAGGCCCCTTAACCACAGAACCATAAATCTTCACCCCTAAACTATACAAAACCGTTCATCGGAGGTCCCTCGGCAGTATTTTTGCCCGGTTTTACTGATGTGGCATTCTAGTCAGCAATTTTTTTTAAAAAAAGTACTTGGGCCCACATGTCAGCTGCATATTCTCTTTTCTCTTCTCTTCTTCGGAGAGGTGGGCAAATGCGGGTGCGGCGACCGGCGGGGGTGCGGGCGTGGCGGGGCGTGGGGAAGAAGCGGGAGAGGAGGAGAGGAGGCGGGCGCGGCAGGCGGCGGGCGGCGCGGAGCGAGCTGCGAGTTGCCACTTAGGTCGAGCTTGAGTAGCTGCGTGAGGTCGCCAATCGGCCAATGGCGGATGGAACCACGACGGAGCTCAACATCACGCCGACGAACATGTTGCCGTCGAGGAATATCTCAGCCAAGGCGTTGCAGTTGGTTAGGTTGTCCAAGAACTCCCAGGTGCCGCCGTCATCGGTCGGCGTACGGCTCCTCTCATCGTCTCCCGCGCCCGCGCGGATGCTCTCTGTGGCAGCGTCCGACGCCCTCGTCGAGATCAAGCCAGGCAAGATAAGCATGGTCTCCGGCATCCCCAAGGAGCACCTCCGCCGCAAGGTGCTTCTTTGGACTTACTCTGATTTATGTAGTGTCGATAGATTCGCTAGCCCTCATAGATCCGTGTGGGAATCGCTCGAGATGTCCAGGTTTGGTGGGTTCTTTTGGTTGTTACTCGGGTTAGGGATAGAGCCTGGAGGTGTTGGGTCGTGAACTCGTGGTACAGACTACAGTGCTATCGCTAGTTGATGTTCGAATCGTGGAGTAGATAGAAATGCGAATTCGGTGATGAAGTTTTACACTTGTATGGTTTGAACTGCGTCTAGAACTTGGGAGGAATGTGCTGGTCCGTGCGCGCCCACGTCGATCGGCTGGGAGCTCGCTGTGGAACACGTTGTTCGCGAGTGCGAGGCCTCGCAACGACGTCATGTTGAAGAAACTCGGCGGGATCTCTCCGATGAGGCTGTTCTACGACAAGGCTAACATGCGGAGCGCCAGGAGGCGTGACAAGCCGTCGGGGATGGAACTTTCCAGAAGGTTCTGGTCGAACTCGAGCTGCACGATCTTCGTGAGGTTCGCTAGCGATGGCGGGATGTGGCCGGAGAGCGAGTTGTGGCTGAGTCGGAGCACCGTGAGATTCGGCAACGCGTCGAGCCATCGTGGAACGCCGCCGACGATCGAGGTTGTTGTTGTTGAGGTACGCGACGTCGAGGGTGGTGCAATTGCGAAGCGCGTCAGGTATCTCGCCGGCGAACGCGTTGTCGCATAGGCTGAGATACCACATCCACCGGAGCCAGCCGAGGCCATCGGGGATGCTCCCGGAGAAGGCGTTGGAGGTGAGGTTGATGAGTAGCTCGAGCTGCTTGAGGTTGGCGACAGCCGGTGAGAGCTCGCCGGCGAGACGGCTCATGGACACGTCCAGCGACGTGACGCGCACCGCCGCCCGCTTCTCTCCGCGCGGCCGCGCTCGCGCCCGCCTCCACTCCGCTGCCGTGCTCGCCCTCCGCTGCTCCGCCTGCCGCCGCCTCCCTCGCTGAAGAAAAGGAGAGAGGAGAGAAAAGAGAAGAGAAGGAAAAGAAAAAGAGAAGAAAAAAAATATGTGCAGCTGACATGTAGGCTCCACGTACATTTTAAAATTTTATTTGCTGACTAGGATGCCACGTCAGCGAAACCACCCATATATACTGCTTAGGGACCTTGAGTGAACGGTTTTGTATAGTTTAGAGGTGGAGATTTCTGGTTTTGTGGTTAAGGGACCTCAAAAAATCTCGCTGTTAAGTTGAGGGACCTCCAGTGAACTTATTCCTCACGGCGGCGGCAATGCTGCCTATGAGCTGACTTGGCCCATTGAACTCTACACTCGCGGCCCATCAGGCTATTCTCTGCCTTTGGAAGCGGACTTGTGGGCCGGCCCATTAGTAGGAGGAATCCCTCAGTCGCTCCGCTTCTCCCCTCCCGTCTCCACCTCCTCCCACCCCTCTCTCCCCTCCGCTCCGGGCTCCGGCGGAGGGGGCGAGCTCCGCCGTCGGCGGCCATGGGCGCGTGGTTCCGCGTGGGGCGGATCGCCGCCGCCGCTCGAGTCCTCTGGAGAGGTCCCACGCCGGCCTCGGCCCCGTCTGAAGTGGTATCTCTCATCTAACATCCCTTACCGATGATCAGATGTCCAGTTTGGTGCTTGATCTGAGTATGCTTGTTAAGTAGTAGTAATAGAGTGAATTTCTCGGCGACGATTCGATTTCCAGTTGGGTGGTTCGGAATATAGTTCGGTTGATTTGCTTCCTGCATGTTCTGACGATGCTACAGGTAGTAACAATTTTAATGCTATTGTGCGCTTGGGCAAGTCTAGTTTAATATGTGTTTTTGTTTGGGTGGATATCTTGTGAAGTCATATTGCTAATGTAAATAGTACTTGCGCTTTGGCCTGAAGGACAAATTCTTTTGATAGGGCTTGTGATGTGATAAAAGTGTCTTTCCCTGGAGTAAACTGCTACTAGGGTGTGAATGTGTGATAGAGTTATCGTGATGATCTAGCCTAAGATAAGCCTGACAAATTTTTTTTTCTTGCAAATTGGGATAGAATGGCATCCCAGTTTGCAAGAAAAATTGAAACTGCTTTGAATTTGCTAGTTAGGGGGTGTGTCATGTTCTTTTTTTCAATTGGGTTTTACCTATTCCCTATGATTTTCTTTCAATGGTTTTACGCATTGTACGTTGGGTTGGAACTAACTTCAATACTTTGGATGTCTGACCTACATGTTCATTTTATACTTTTTCAGCGTGAGCGGCTGGCAGTGGAGACCGTCAAGCTGTTTTCTCCTGGGATGAACCAGCAAGATAGGTCCTTCTGGAGCTACCTCATTGGCTACAACTGTGGCGCCCTGATCATCCTTGGCAATGCTAATAGAGAACTTGATCAGAGGGCAAAGGCTCTTGCTGAGGAACGGGAAGCTCTTTGATGGTGGTTGCTAATGTTCTTCGATTACCCTTGCGACGGTGAAAATGTATGGTTATCACCTTTCTTTCACTGATTCGAACATGTTCTGTTTCCATGCATGGAGGACCATCCGGGTGCTTGATCTGCTCTTCCCCTCGGTGCAAAATGAAATCTGTAGTGCAAATTGATGGATTAAAATATGTGAAGTGTTAAATGCTGCCCGATTCATGTGAGATTGAATGTTACTGACTTGGTATGCGAACTTCAGGAAATCATGTCTTTTTGTGGTTCTTTTTTCATTTACTGGACATGTTAGGAAGAACAGCTGTGACCGTGCACATTATCCTATATGTTCATACTATGAATTGGTGAAGTGAAACTTAAAAACTTCCCTTCCAGTTAAGGTGATTAAGAGAGGCCCATTTTGTTGTCTCCTTGCATACAACTTGTTCTTGAATATTTTGATTCATCTTCTACTCCCTCCGTCTCCTAATATAAGGGATTTTGACATTTTATTGCATTGTTTGACCATTCGTCCTATTCAAAAAAATTAAAATTATTATTTATTTTTTTTGACTTACTTTATTATCCGAAGTACTTTAAACACAACTTTTCGTTTTTTATATTTGCATAATTTTTTTTTGAATAAGATGAGTAGTCAAAGAGCACAAGCAAATGTCAAAATCCCTTATATTAGGGGATGGAGGGAGTAGCTAACAGAGCACTTTTTTTTCCTTTTTGAGAAAATTGGAACCATGCCATTATAATTTTGCAAAATTTGAGATATGCCATCCTGACCCACATGTCATTGACTCATGTAAGTTCTACATGTCATAGAGATACCAATGGCATATCTCAAACTTTGTAAAATTATAATGGCATGGTTCCAATTTACCTTTTCTTTTCTTCTTAACCCTCTGATTTTGTTGGCTTGAATTAGATTGGATAGTTGTCTGAACCATATAGTGTAGAGAATTTAGTCTTAATGAAAACTCGGTGGGCAATATTCTGTTGATATTCAGGATTTATAACATGGATTTATGGACTGGATATGAAATATTGATTGCATCTGTAAGTCGTATGAAATTTACTCCATGAAAAATTGAACGGGCCAGAACCCGGAGCAAAGCCAAGGCTTGCCGAGCTATTCGAGCTCGGCTCGACAAGCTCGCGAGCACAATAACAATGGCAGGCTCGGACTCGGTTCCAACCTCTAAACCAGCCGAGCTTGACTCAAGCCTGCACCAAACCGAGTCAGAGCAGCTCACGCATCAAACATCTTTTCTTTTCTTTTTGGCGAAAATCCGAAACCGTATAGGACATACACTCTCTGACGTTCGTCTTCCCTTTTATATATTTCTCCATCACCTCGCAATCCAATCCAAGAGAGTTACCTTCGGAGAATTCAATCCGCGCGATTAACCCCAGTTAATTCACCAGAATTAATCACCGTCCGTTACAAAATGCAGTCGGTGGTGCGGTCAACGGCGCGGCGAGCGGCGGCGACGGCGCAGGGGTACGGGCGGCGGTCGGCGGCGATGTCGTCCGGCGGCGGCAAGGCGTCTTCTTCCGAGATGAGAAGGATAGACTACGGGTCGATCTGGCACGTCATCGCCGGCAATATTGGCCTCGGCGTCACCCTGTTCGGCCTCAAAGGACTACACGATATGCGGATGGAGGAACGGGAAGAGAAATGGAATAGGGAACGGGAAGAGCGACTCGAGGCGGCTAGGAAGGAATGGATTCAGCAAACGCAAGGCCAACGTAAGGCTATGTGCCTCCTATGCCGGTGTCCTTGCCATTTGGATTATATGGAGTGAATTTTAATGTTGAGTTGCTTCAGATGTTGTTTAATTATTAATAATGTATAATTGCCTTTGTGCGAAGGAAAACATGCACTCGCTTCGTATTACGATGTATTTAATAGGTATTGTTATATTATAGGAGAGAGATGTACTTTTCTTTCGTCTATAAATGATCAGAAACCATCGGAACTGGTAGGGGTCAAAACGGTTGGAATTAGTAGCATCTCTTCAGAAACGATGCTAGATCAACCGGTAATTGACCATATTCATCATTCAACTACTCAGTGTCGACGTTAATACGATGCAGAAATAAATTAGAAAAAACGAAATTTGTAAATAGCCAAAAACAATACCCCTTATACGGAAAAGGCGCCCAGTTGTTTGGGAATTTCCGTGACCGTTTTCACCCCTACATTCATGCATTCTCCATATCTCAGATGCAAGGGAGAGGTTGAACCATCGTCAAGTATTTAACTCTTGCTTTGCTAATTATTTTCTCCGGCGATTACAAGTCTCTACTCCACAACAACAAAAAATGGGACAAAAAAAAAGAGAACTGTTTCTTCAAATTCAACTACTACGATCATATGCGCTAAAAACGTAGGATGCACCTGTAGATTAATTATATAACGTAACCGGTAAAATAGAGCAGATTAATTAGTTAACCTACAAATAACCGAACACGCATGCCATCGTCCCCACGAGCACGCCAAGGCCTGACCACCAACTCATCACCTTCACCGCGTTGCCATGCGACGGCGCCGGCGCGGCGGCCGGCGCCTCGTCGCCGTCCTCATCGGCCGGATCCGTCAGCGGCAAACTCGGCGGGATCGGCACCATCTTTGTCGGGGCCGGCACCGGCGCCGGGGTCGGCGCGATCGCCATCGGCTTCATCCTCGGCAACGGCGGGGACGGCAGCGGCAGCGGCCCCGGCCCCGGCCGTGGCCTCGTGAGGACGCCCGGCGGCACGACGAAGTTGCTGATCTGGAGCACGGAGATGTTGTACGGCACGGCGGCGACCACCCTCTTGAGCGTGGCGTTCACCAGCGCGCCGGGCGCGGCGGAGGCGAAGACGGCGCCGCCCTTGGCCGTCGGGGTGATGGCGAGGAACCCGGTGCGGCGGCGCGCGTTCCCGGTGGTCTGGAACAGGGTGGTGGACACGGTGGGCTTCCCCGGCGGCAGCGCGGCGATCTTCGCGGCGTCGAAGTAGTCGAGCACGACGTGGACGGAGAGGAGCTCGACGAGCGCCGCCCGCGGCAGCCTGGCGCTGCGGCGGAGGAGCCAGTCCACGGCGGAGTTGTCCGGCACCAGCACGGTCACCGTGTTGCGGCTGTTGATGTCGCGGTCGACGTGCGTCTTGCTGATCAGGTAGCTGAACAGCCCGAACTCCGGGAACCGGCCGAGGATCTCCGTCACGTTGAACGACGCGCCGCCCGCCGGCGCCGGCGGCGGCGCCGCCTCCGCCGCCGCGGCGTCATCGCCGGAAGCCGGGAGGACGAGGGCGAGGAGCAGGAGCAAGGAGAGCCTGGACGCCATGGGTGGTGGGTTCGCGTGAACAGGAGGCAGATGTGCGGCGGAATTTATAGGAGAAGAGGAGAGGAGAGGAGGGGGTTGAACAGTTGGGTGAGAGGCTGGTCGCGTTCCTTTTTTGGCGCGAAAGAGATCCGGTCGCGCGCTGACCACTTCTCCCAGATCAAATGTTGACCTCTGATCGTCCGATGCGTATCCAATGGTCCAGGATGGCTTGGTAGAACGGACGGCGATTGGAGAGTGGAGTGTAAATGGGCCGCGTTGATCTGGCCCATTGGGCTTTACGCTTCATAGTTCAGAGTTGTACGGCCCAGATAAACAAGACGCATATCATTTGTGCACTATACATTATAGGAACGAATCCGATTTTCGTTCTTCAACCGCAAAACAGATACAACGGGTCCCTTAACTATCAAAACCGGTGCATATTAGGTCCCTCGGCGGTTTCGATGGCGGTTTTGGCTGACGTGGCGCCTGCGTGGCTAATTTTGACTCGGTCTCGATCTGACGTGGTATGACGTGGTGCTTACGTGGCAATTTAACCCGGGAAAATAATAAACCCCGTGGGACCCACATGTCAGTTTCACACATAAAAAATTAATAATAATGGTGGAACCCACGCTGCCCCACATGTCAGTCTAACTCACCCCTCCTCTTCTGCTTCCTCTCTCTCCTTCTCTCCTCTCTTCATCTCTCTCTTGCGCTAGGGGATGCGGCCGGCGACGACGACGGCGGCGGAAATGGAGAAGAGTGACCGCCAGGGGCATAGGTGTGACGTCGCCGGGGGCGCTTCGAGGCGGAAGTAGACTCTTACGACGTGGCCGTCGGAGGTGAGCGAGGTCGTCATGGACTCACGGGATTGGCGGTGTCATCGGCAGCGGCGGAGCAGGAGTTGTAGTTGGAGTCCTTGTCGTCGACCTCGAGTTCGTCAATGTGCTCGAGCATTACCCACCATTAGTAGTCGCCGGCGGCGGAAGGTAGCGCCGCCATCTCCTGTTGGGTTTCCATGGGCCGCAGCGAGCAGATCGATATGGGTTCCTCGTCAGTCCGGCCGGAACGGTGTTTTCTTGCCCAAAACAATGATCATTCATTCATTCATCAACCCCGTCATAACACAAGCAAATGATGATGACGAAGCAAAATATACTCCAGTCAGCTAGTACTAGTCGCTATTGCTTCTACCTTTGTATGATTAGGCACATAAATGCGGAGCGGAGTTTGTCGGCTCTGGTGCCCAAGCCGAGGCCGTGGACGAAGAGCTTCCTGCTCACGGGATCGGCCTCCGTCGCGCGCCGCACGGTCGTCATCATCACTGGGGTCGTCTTCGCAGCCGGCCGCCTCTCCCCTCTCCCGCCGGCGAGGTGGCCCCCTCACCCGCCCACGTGGACGGCCGCCTCCGAGGATGCGCGTGTGTGTCGGCCGGTCGGCGGGACATGTTCATCCCGCCGCCGAGGATGCCGAGGTCGACGTCGACGTCGTCCGCAGCCACGGCCGCGCTGCCTCCGCCGCCGGGCTGGTTCCCTTCTCTCCGTTAGTTTCCCTCCCACCAGCCGCCGCGCCGCGCCCCTTTTCCCAGCCGGACACCGTACTCTCCCCGCCGCCCGTGAACCGGAGAGAAGAGAGAGAGGAGAGGAGAGAGAGATGAAGACAGAGAAGATGGGGAAGAGGAGAATCAGAATGACCCAGCGCAAGAGAGAGACGAAGAGAGAGGAGGAGGAGAGAGAGGAAGCAGAAGAGGAGGGGTTAATTAGACTGACATGTGGGGTCCGCGTGGGTCCCACCATTATTATTATTATTGTGTGTGAAACTGACATGTGGGTCCCACGGGGTTTATTATTTTCCAGATCGAATTGCCACGTAAGCGCTACATCAGTGCCACGTCAGATCAAGATCGAGTCAAAATTAGCCACGTAGGCGCCACGTCAGCCAAAACCGCCATCGAAACCGCCGAGGGACCTAATATGCACCGGTTTTGATAGTTGAGGGACCAATTGTATCTGGTTCTGTGGTTGAAGGACGAAAATCGGATTCGTTGACAAGTTAAGGGACCTTAGATGAACTTATTCCATACATTATACATTATAGGGTGTGTTTGGTTGGGCTTTTCAACCTGCTTTTGCTTTTGCAAAAGCTAAAAGCCAACCAAAGAGCCCAAAAGCTACAGCTGCTTTTGTCAAAAGCCAGCTTTTGGTGTAGTACAAATCAAAAGCACCCTTACCCCCTGCTTTCACCTGCTTTTGGGGGAAAAAAATTACCCACCTATGCCATTAAAAAAAAAACGGTTCAATCTTTTCCCCATCTCCTCACGTCTTCTTCACGCTAGCGCCGCCCTCCCGCCCGACGCCGCCGCCGCCCCTACTCCTCCCCGCCCGGCGCCGGCGTGGCCCCTGCTCCTTCCCGTCCCTTCTCCTCCCTCGGTCTCATGCGCCACCTCGTCGATGAGATCTCGCCCGCTCTACTCGCGTCGTGCGACGAGACGGCGGCGGCGTCACCGCTGCCTCCTCCTCCCGGCGCCGCCACCCCTTCGCCCTGTCAGCTGTGGATGCGGAAGACGAAGGAGGTGAGGTGGCCGACGGCGGCGCTCCTCCTCGCCGCGGCTCCACCCCGCTGCGCGTCCTCCTCCTCGCCGAACCGCCGCCGCCGCTCCTCCTCGCCGTCGCTCGTCCCCGCCGCTTGTCCTCCTGCTCGCCGAACTGCCACCTTCGCTCTCTTCGCCGAGCCACCGCCCCCGCCCGAGGCCGACGGCGATGGCCATGGCCATCTCCTCCATCTCTTTCTTTTTTTTCAATGTGTATGACATGTGGGGCCTGCTTGTCAGCAGAACTGATAGTCCAAAAGCCACAGCTGTTGAACCAAACGAGCTTTTCCAAAAGTCACAGCCCATATTCCATAGCTACTTTTTAAAAAGTCACAGCCCACAACTATTTTTTCAAAAGCCACAGCTCAACCAAACACACACATAATACACACACCAGCTGGTCATTTGTTCACTATACATCGCACACCAGCACATTAGATGAAAGTTTCTCAATCTATTTTTTTTTACTACCTCAAAAGTGCAGTCGTCATTTTTTCATTCTTTTCTAACCGTACTCATCGTAATTATTTTATCCTAAATCCATCCACCTAGCTAGTTCCTAATTATATGGGTCTAGCTTGTATTTTATTCTCAATCTACCCATAACCATCCAACCAATCCCCAACTATATGAGGCCAGTGGCCTGACCTGTTGCAAAATACGAGCATATTACCGGCTTTAAATAGAGGGAGGTTTGGGGGAAAACCATTTCCGCTGAACTGAGATATAGATTTTATGATTTGGAAAATGACAAAAATACACCAAGCCAAAAAAAAAGGGATCTTTTTATATTTCTTTTCTCCGAGTTATTTGTTTATATTAGTCTCTTATGAGTTATCTCCCACGTTGTTATGTTCTAATGTTAGTGTTTCTTCAACAGAAAAGATAAAATAATTTAACGTATTCAACTATTCATGGACCAAAAGAACTATTCATGGTAATAAGTTGTTCGTCGAGTGTCTTCTTATTTACTTAGGTGCCTAAGCTTGTAAGGTGGGATTTCATTCGTCGAAAAAACAGGTATCTCTTCGTACTAAAATATCTGTTTTTTTAAGTTTAAATTTTATCAATGATTATGACTTAAGATTACTAATTATTCCATCAATCACATTTTATCTAAATTTCTATCCATTTTATCCTCATCATCCTCCCACTTTTATTTAAATGAGGAGCACTATATAGTTTCGGGCCCTTCCATGGTAGTATTACCTCAGTCCCGGAAATAGTGTAGTTTTGCACTTTTTTATATCCAACGTTTGACCGTTTGTTTTATTTGAAAATTTTTATGATTAATATTTTTATTGTTATTAAGATGATAAAATATGAATAGTGCTTTATCTATGACTATATATTTTTAAAATTTTTTCATAAATTTTTTAAATAAGATGGATAGTCAAACGTTGTACACAAAACACACAATTGCACTTAAAATAAAACGGATGTACCATATACTGTCTCCGGTGGTAGGACAGTAGGAAGTAGACGTGACCATTGATTGATTAAGGGAAGTAGACGTGACCATTGATTGATTAAGGGAGTAATTAAGGGTATTTTGGACTACTATTTCACTCGAAAATTAGAAACTCTTATTTTGTTTCCACCTCATCTTTTGACTGAGTTTCCGTTTGATTCGGAGAAAAAGGAATATGGATACCTTTCGGATTGGATAATTCTCGAATAGTTCAGATACGGGTACGAATACGTATATTTTCTCCCAGATACGAATATGAATATGGTATCAGGGTTTCTGTCAGATACGGATAATAATTTGGATATCTGTAAAAGCTATGAGACATATCTTATTTCTTTATAACTCTATGACCTTCAGTATACCTTTTTAAATTTTAATAGTAGTTCATCTCTTAAAACTAGTCTACACTATTAATATTATTTAAATTTTTAAAAAATATTTATAAATTATACTATATTTTATATAAAATTGAGCTAATTATATATGTTGATATCTGTTTCTATTAGAAGTTGAGTTGGTTTTCATGTTCCAAGAAAAAAATGTTTCCGAATTTGTGTCCAATCATATTCGATTCTTATTCATATTCGAGCTATGTGTATCAACCGCTAGGGAAGGGTGGTTGTCATGTGTTATATATACACCTTGACATACATGTGCGCAGAGCAGTGTTTCAAATAGTGGGCTAAGACATTTAGCCGTTGGACTTCTTAAATAACCATAATGAGCTAAATAGAGTTATAGTGGCTAAATTGTACATGAAAACAAATAACTCAACCCTTTCTTAAACAGCTATAGCCGGAGATTTAAAACTTTGGCACAAAGTCTCCCATGTGAGCAAAGTAGTTGAAGTAGGGGCTTGATCTTGTTAGCTCCTCCTGATCTTGGTGATGATATAGATCACAAAACCAGTCACTTGGCTGATTTGATCAGATTGATATTTGCATGAACACCACCCGGCTCATGAAGA